GTGTGAACGCCGTGGGCTGTGGCAGTTTTGTGTGTCTCCGTGGCCAGTACCTTAGAGATTTGATCCATGCCTCTCGGTCATGGGTACAGGAGAAGGACACGTCCCAAGGGACCCACATACCCCACATCATCCCTGTGATGGCCACGCGGAGGGCAGGGGACACACTTGTGTCCCCGCAGGCCCCTGCATGCGCGTGGCCGGGCTGCGGTTGGCGGTTGGGTTGGTTCTGCCGTTCATGTGCACACACCTGGTGCCAGCCATGGACAAGAAGGGCACTGGGGCCTGGGCTGGGCGGGGCCAGCCAGGCTTGGGGGGGTCCTGGCCGTGCTTGGGCATGTGGAGATCCGATGGCAGGTGGCCAGGAGGGTTTGGTGCCCTCATTCGGTGCTGCGTTCGCGAGGCAGGATGGGCTCGAGCACTCTGCGCCACTGGGAGTGGCTCCTGTGGAAGGACGGTGGCATGTGTGGCCTTGGAGAGGGATGTGCCACTGGGGAAGCCTTGTCCCCACACCCCAGGGCAGAGTCCGGCCCTCGCCTGCCTCCGGAGCAGTGGAGCCAGACACCAGGCTGTGTTCCACCATGTGGCCTCCACACTGGGGTGGGTGTGTGGTCAGGTCCTGCCATCAGGGAGGGAGGAGCAATGGGGTGGACGCTCACAGCATCTGTCCAGAGCTATTTGAGAGCCCATTGCTGGAGTCAGAAGAGGAACATCTCCTGCTGGACCCGGGGAACGCGTTGAAGCTGTACTGTGATGCCAACCAGAGTGGTGCCAGCGTGGTCTGGTACAAAGAGTCCCAGCCACTTGTCCCAGGGGGACGCGTCCGCCTCCGGCAGAGCTTGCTGGAAATTTCAGAGGTTGCCTACGAGGACTCAGGGCTCTATGTATGTCGGGCGCGGGGGACTGGGGATATTCTGTGCAACTTCACCATCTCCATTGTGGGTAGGAGCCCCAGCAGCACCCGGCTCCCCCCCAGGGCAGCTGTTGCCCACCTGGCTCTGCAGGCAGGGATGTCCCTCTCAACTCATTTCCTTTGCAGACTCGGTGGCATCAGGCGATGACGATGAAGACAGTGATGGGGACAGTCCTCACAGAGACCGAAACGAGGAGCCCGTTTATGTGCACAGAGGTCAGTGACACCCCAGGCAGGAGAGGGCAGCTGGGGCAGGTCCAGCAGCATGGGGCATTGCTCCTTCCTGCTCACAGCATGAGCCGCTGGCAGCAGTTCCAGCAGCCTCCACACTGCCCCTGGCCCCCTCCCACTCTATGTCCCACATCTCCCCAGCTCCTTACTGGACTCACCCACACCGGATGGACAAGAAGCTGTACGCGGTTCCCGCGGGGAACACGGTGAAGTTTCGCTGCCCAGCCTCGGGCAGCCCCAGCCCCAGTATCCGCTGGTTCAAGAACGGGCGCGAGTTCCGGGGGGAGCACCGCATCGGGGGCATCCGGGTAAGGGCAGCTGCCCCCGCCGCAGCCTCCCCTCCCGGGGTCCGGGCCCCCGTCACACCTCACTGTCTTACCTCCCCTCTCTGCAGCTCCGGCACCAGCACTGGAGCCTGGTGATGGAGAGCGTGGTGCCCTCCGACCGCGGCAACTACACCTGCCTGGTGGAGAACAGATTTGGCAGCATCCACTACAGCTACCTCCTGGACGTGCTGGGTGAGGGCTTTTCAGTGCTGGGTCTGGCTCCCTGCTCCCCTCACACCTGGCAGAGGGGTCAGGGTCACAGGGTGGAGGAACCTCTCATTTGTGTGCTCTCCACTGGCACAGCTTTCATGTCTCTCACCTAAGAGATGTGGGGATCAAGACCAGGCTCAAGGTTGCACTGGTCTGCTGTATGGCCGGGGAAGGGTTCTCTGTAGCTTCACTGTGGGTGAAGAAGGAGGGAGAAAGGAGCCCCTGCTCTGGGCCACTGTCAGTGACACTGGTCTGCTCTCTTCTGCACAGAGAGGTCTCCACACAGGCCCATCTTGCAGGCTGGGCTGCCTGCCAACACCACAGCCCTGGTGGGCAGTGACGTGGAGTTCTTCTGCAAGGTCTACAGTGACGCCCAGCCCCACATCCAGTGGCTGAAGCACATCGAGGTGAACGGCAGCAGCTATGGTCCCGACGGGGTCCCCTACGTGCAAGTGCTCAAGGTAACAAAGGCTGTAAGCACCCAGACCCAGACCCCCACCTCGAAGTGGTGGCAGAGGGTGCACAGAGCCCCACAAGGAAGAGAAGGGATGCTGACCATCCATCCTGCTCCCTGGCAGACTGCAGACATCAACAGCTCCGAGGTGGAGGTGCTGTACCTGCGCAATGTCTCCATGGAGGATGCTGGCGAGTACACCTGCCTGGCGGGGAACTCCATCGGCCTCTCCTACCAGTCTGCCTGGCTCACCGTCCTGCCAGGTAGGGGTGGGGGTCCTGACATGGGAGCTGGGACCCCTGGCATGCAGGGACCATAGCTCAGGCCAGCTCATTCACTCCTTCCAGAAGAGGAGCTGGTGAGGGAAGCTGAAGCCCCTGAGGCCAAGTACACAGACATCATTATCTACACCTCGGGCTCGCTGGCCGTGGCCATGGCCATCATCATCGTGGTGCTCTGCAGGATGCAGACTCAGTCGAGCAAGCAGCCCCTGGAGCCCATGGCTGTCCACAAGCTCTCCAAATTTCCACTCATCCGACAGGTGGGTGCCAAGATGGAGCCCTGGGGGCACAGGGAGACCTTGGCAACCAACTGGCTCCATGAGTGCCACTCGTACCCATCACACCTTACCCCGTGCTGCCAGCTGTGGGGCTGCCCTCCCCACTGCCTCCTGTGGCTCCCTCACCCCTCCTCGCTCTGAGGAAGGGTCTTTCTGCAGCACCAGGGTCTCTGTTTGGCCCTGGAGCATGTGGTGAGATGGCTGAGGTCCCAGGGGCTCTCTCTGCAGTTTTCCCTGGACTCCAGCTCCTCCGGGAAGTCCAGCACGTCCCTGATGCGCGTCACCCGTCTCTCCTCCAGCTGCGCCCCAATGCTGGCTGGGGTCATGGAGCTGGACCTGCCCCTCGATGCCAAGTGGGAGTTCCCTCGAGACAAGTACGGTGCCATGCAGGGCAGGTCTGGGACACAGGGCTGCTTTCCCCAACCACCCCAGGGTGGGTGTGATAGATGGGGAGGTCTCTGGCTATCGCCAGACACCTCAACACCACCATACCCTGGGGGGCTGGGACTTGGTGCTGATGGAGAGGGGCCACCATGCCACCTGTACCCCTCAGTTTCCAGCCATGCGGTGGTGGGGAGCAGGGCCATCCATGTGGTCCCTCATGGTTCTGCCCATCCCTGCCAGGCTGGTGCTGGGCAAGCCCCTGGGGGAAGGCTGCTTTGGCCAGGTGGTGCGGGCAGAGGCTTACGGCATCGATAGAGACCGGCCAGACAGAGCAGTCACTGTGGCTGTCAAAATGCTGAAAGGTAACAGCTCCCCTGCCAGTGTTGCAGACACAGAGGTGATATCTGTGCCAGCTTGTGCCACCCCAGCTGGCACGGTGACACAGCCCTCCTTCCCCAGACAGTGCCACTGATAAGGACCTGGCTGACCTCATATCCGAGATGGAGATGATGAAGCTCATGGACAAGCACAAGAACATCATCAACCTCCTGGGAGTCTGCACGCAGGACGGTGAGGGGGCTGTGCAGGCAGCACTTGGGCAGGGCATGGGTGTGGAGCAGGGGCAGGGGATGGTGCTGTTGGGGACAGTGGCAGGCGGGACAGGACTCTGGGCTGGAACAAGACAGGGGCTGAGCAGTGTGGACTTTTTTTTCTCTTCCCAGGGCCACTGTACGTGATCGTGGAGTTTGCTGCAAAAGGCAACCTGCGTGAGTACCTCCGTGCCCGCCGCCCCCCGACACCTGACTACGCCTTCGACATCGTGGCCATGCCCGAGGAGCAACTCTCCTTCAAGGACCTGGTCTCTTGCATCTACCAGGTTGCCCGTGGCATGGAGTACCTGGAGTCCAAACGGGTAAGGCTGACAGCCTGCATGGGCTGCCTGCGCTCAGCAGTGCCCAGGAGGGGCACGGCTATGATGCAGGAGCTGGGGCCCCTTGTCCCCTCTCTGAAAGGGGAGAGGAAGCCCAGCCACTTCCACTGGGCTGTCCAGAACCTTACAGCCACATCCACCAAAGCTCAGGGCAAAATCTCCCCCAAAACATGGTGCTTAAAGCCTGGACACCCTCCTGGGTGTGTTCCCTCATTGCACCTGTCTCTAGGGCAGTGGGTCTAAGGGTGGTCCTGCTGCTGCCAGGGTGCTGGGTGATGTGTGGGAGGTCGGCTCTGGGTGTGAGGAGGGGATGCACGGAACTGGAGCCTCCATCTCATACCTCCTGTGGGTGATGCTCCCTTCCCTGCAGTGCATCCACCGTGACCTGGCTGCCCGCAACGTGCTGGTCACGGCAGAGAGCGTGATGAAGATCGCAGACTTTGGATTGGCCAGGGACGTCCACGACATCGACTACTACAAGAAAACCAGTAATGTGAGTGGGGAGGCCTGGGGGAGAGGCTGGGGAGGACTGGAGCCCTCAGCCAGGGCTGAGCAGGGGGTTTGCTCCTGTAGGGTCGCCTGCCAGTGAAGTGGATGGCACCTGAGGCCCTGTTTGACCGAGTCTACACCCACCAGAGCGATGTGTGAGTCCTGGAGCTGCTGGGGGCTGAGCGCACTGTCAGGTGTGGGGTGAGGCAGAGCTGGGGGGTTATTCCCGTACTCGAGGGTCCCTGTGAGTAGGACTGGGATACTCTATGGGGACAGCAGCAGGAGAGCACATCTTTCCCAGGGGTGATGCCACCC